CCAGTTTAATCATCGTTGACCGTGCAGTGAAGTCAATTCTCTTCATTGCTTATTTAGAGATGAGGAAACTGAGGCACAGGAAGGCTAAGAAATTGCCTCGACGTTACACCCAGGAAGCGTCAGAGGCACCTAATATTGCCAGAGCAGGCCTTCCACGTTAACCACTTTCCTTTACAGGGAACACCCTGGTTGGAAAATTCCATGCCCTCAAAGCCAGGAACGGGTGGGGCATTTGCTGAGCGTAAAAGGATCTTTGTGTTACACTACTGAGTGGCCAGTACAAGTTACAAAAGAGTATAGATCACATTTTCTCATACATAGATATATGTATAATTATTATATATAGATAGATAGATCTCATTACCTAGGGGGCAGACTTCTTTGGGACAATTTTCATCTTCTGTTTTAATTTTTCTTTAAATGCTATGATTTTTGGAGGTAGAGTAGGAAAAGACCAGACTTTAAAAAATGTTTTTTCCAATTATCGGGTTATTAAAAATATCTATTATTTCTTCCGGGTCCACGTTTGTAATTTACTTCAGCCCTCCAAACTCTTCAAACTTGTAACCATCAAAAAAAGGACCAGAATGCTTTAAATCAGCTGCGTGCGAAAGAAAGCTGTATCTAGGGATATTTATGCCCAGTAAATCTTTGGCCGCAGTAAGAGGGTCACACAAACGCTAAAGTCACATAGCGCGAGGCGCAAGGTTTGGAACTGGTCACGCCCTCCACTCATTCGCCCAGGACAAGATTTGATTGCTTTGGCCCGGAACTCTTCGGTCGCACCCTGGTAAAGCTATGCGGGAAGGGCAAACTTCCGGTTAGTGTGCCACTTCCGTGAGGGGCAGCCGATTCAGCGGCCTTACGAGAACCGGAAGTCCGTCACCTTTCACCCTCCGCCTTTTCGGAAGTGACGCAAAGCGGGGTTGCCGGAAGAAGTGGCGAAGTTACTTTTTAGGGGACCCGAGCAGTGCCGGCGTGCGAGTGGAAACAGAGAAGGAGGAAGCGGAGCAGAGATAAGGGGACAGAGGCAGGTGTACTCAAGAGTAGGGGGACGTGGTGGAAGCCCCGGCCCATGACTTCCCGGCCTTCCGCGCGCCACTCCGGTCACCCCCCTTCTTTCCTTTTACCCCCTCCTTTCCGTAACTCGCGCCGCCCCGACTGTTTCCAGGGCAACAGGAACGGAGACCCCGCGAGAGGCAACTCACGAGACCCCCGCGCGCAGCCATGAGCCCCTCCCCCCGCTGGTGCTCGGAGAGGGGCGGGACCTGGAGCAAGGTGTGGGGGCGGAGCTTGATGGGGGAGGTGGGAGCAGAACCTGACGGAAGGGGGATGGAGGCGGGGCCTGGAGCTAGAGGTTCGAGACGGAGCTGCTTAGTGGAGATGAGAGTCGAATTTGGAAGGCATGAGGTGGAGTCTAGAAGGAAGAGATGGGGGCAGAACGAGAGAGTGACCAGAAGAGGTGAGGTGGAGTCTGACTATGACTAGGAGGGGTGAGACTTGAGGGGAGGAAGGAAGTCCAGCAGGTGGGCGGGAAGACATGGAGAGGGGCGTGCCCTGGAGCAAGAGAAGGGGCGGGGCGTGGGGACAGCTGGTAGGATGCGTGGATCTGAAGGCAGGCTCTGGGGCTGGTGTCTTTACGGAGTTGGGGGAGAGAGAGAGAGAGAGAGATATGGAAGGAGGGCGGCCCCATCAATATATATAACTGCCCAAGGCTCTTACAAACTCCTTGCCCTGGAGTTGATTCCGAGTCACACTGCCGCTGTAGAACAGAATAGAAGTGCCCTATAGTGTTTCACATGGAGGAGCAGGTAGGTTCTAACCGCAGACCTTTCAGTTAGTAGCCAAGCGCTTAACCACTGCGCCACCAGAGCTCTTTTGGAGGCTCTTAATCCACCCTGTAGGAGCTCTGGTGGCACAGTGCCTAAAGCATTTGATTGCTAACCAGAAGGCTGGCGGTTCAAAACCACCAGCCACTCCCTGGAAAGAAGGTTGGGCAGTATACTTCCGTAGTGATACCTTCTCGGAAACCCAAGGAGGGGTCGCTATGGGTCGGGTCGACTCTACAGCACGTAACAACAACAATCCCCCCATATTGTGCAGGCTGTTCCGTGATCCCACCATGTCCACTCCCACCACCGGTTCCCTGGACAGCCCCTTGCCTGGTGAGTGTCCCCATCCACACCCAGCCCCCCACCACACACGCACACACAGGTCAGGAGGCGCTCACTGGACCCCCCTGTTGCCTGTCTCCCAGGAAATGCCCCCCCTGAGCCCAGCGCCACCTCTTCTTCACCCACTGTAAAGGAGGAGGGTCCCGAGCCTTGGCCCGGGGGTCTGGACCCCGATGTCCCCAGCACTGATGGGGCAGGTTCCGCCTGCAGCGTGGGTGAGACAGGGCCCGGGCTGGGGCCTAGGAGTAGGTGGGGGGCTCGAGGCGGGATCTAGGAAGGGAAGCCCGGAACCAGGGTGGGGAGACGGGAGGCGCCTGCCCCTGGCTTCGTTTTCTCTCCCGTCCGCCCTCGACACTCTCGCTTGGACTCATGTTTTGGGATCCACCATCCACACGTTTTCCTCCATCTCCCTGGTGTTCACGGCTCTCTCCTCGGGCTCTCCGCCCCGGGACCCCTGTGGCCTTGTCTCCCCATGGCCGCCTCTCACGGTCTTCTCCTGCCCCCCGCCCCAGTCATCCCAGCCCCAGAGGAGGAGCCCGAGCGTAAGCGCAAGAAGGGCCCGGCCCCCAAGATGCTGGGCCATGAGCTGTGCCGCGTGTGCGGGGACAAGGCCTCCGGCTTCCACTACAACGTCCTCAGCTGCGAGGGCTGCAAGGGCTTCTTCCGGCGCAGTGTGGTGCGCGGAGGCGCCGGGCGCTACGCCTGCCGGGGCGGCGGGACCTGCCAGATGGACGCCTTCATGCGGCGGAAGTGCCAGCTGTGCCGCCTGCGGAAGTGCAAGGAGGCGGGGATGAGGGAGCAGTGTGAGTGGGGGCGGGGCGGGGGCGGAGCCAGCCCGGGCCCCGCCTTCGCTGCCCCCTGCTGAGGCCTGTGTCCCGCCCACAGGCGTCCTGTCAGAAGAACAGATTCGCAAGAAGAAGATCCGGAAGCAGCAGCAGCAGCAGCAGCAGCAGCAGCCTCCGCAACCGCAGCCGTCACCCGGGGGACCGGCGGGCAGCGCCTCAGCCTCCGAGCCTGGGGCCTCCCCCGGGGGGCCCGAGGGGGGTGGCCAGGGCTCCGGGGAAGGAGAGGGTGTGCAGTTAACGGCGGCCCAGGAGCTGATGATCCAGCAGTTGGTGGCGGCCCAGCTGCAGTGTAACAAGCGCTCCTTTTCCGACCAGCCCAAGGTCACGGTACGGCCCACGGCGCAGCCCCTGGTGGCTGGGGGCTGACCCGGAGCGCAGGGCTCCCCGGCGGAGTCCTGGGCCTGACCCTGGCCCCCTCGTGCCCGCAGCCTTGGCCCCTGGGCGCGGACCCCCAGTCCCGCGACGCCCGCCAGCAGCGCTTCGCGCACTTCACGGAGCTGGCCATCATCTCCGTGCAGGAGATCGTCGACTTCGCCAAGCAGGTGCCTGGCTTCCTGCAGCTGGGCCGTGAGGACCAGATCGCCCTCCTCAAGGCGTCCACCATTGAGGTAACGGCTGGCCCATGGGGCCCCAGCCCCCCTCCCTCCGCAGGGGCCCCAGATGCTGGGTTCTGAAAGGCAGACAGGCTGCCCCCCTCCCGCCCCACCTGGGGGTGAGGCCTGCGTAGAAAGACGTGGTCAGTGCTCTTCAAGTCCGTTCCGAGTGACAGTGACGTCACCTGTGCAGGGAACAGCAGCTCCCTGGGATTTTCAGGGCTGCGCGGTTTCAGAAGCACGTGGCTAGGCCTGCCTTCCAGATGCCCCTGGCTGGACTTGAACTGCCAGCCTTTTCCTAGTAGTCGAGGGCTTCGCCGTGTCCACCACCCAGGCCGCAGGGACCTCACCGGGAAATGGGGTAGATCCAAATCCACACACAAGACCACCAGAGCTGCGCCGAGCCACGGAGCAAGAGCTACAAGGGGCCGAGTTTGAGGACAGGGCTGGAGGGACCTGCTTTAGAGAGAATGTGCTGGAATGGCTTCCCAGGGGTTAACAGATAAGCACTGAGTGCCCCCCGTACAGGAGCACTGGCGGCACAGCAGTGAAGTGTTCGGCAGCTAACCGAAAGGTGGGTGGTTTGAACCCGCCCAGCTGCTCTGCGGGAAGGAGACCTGTTACCTGCTCCTATAAAGGCTACGGCCTAGAAAACCCGGTGGGCAGCTCCCCAGCCTCTGTCAGGGGCCCTGGGGGTGGTTAAGTGCTTCGCTGTTAACTGAAAGGTCAGGGGTCAGCCCTACTCTGCCTCTGCCTGGGAATCATCTTCGTAAAGAGGAGTCTCCGGAACCCCGTGGGGGCAGTTGTCCGTCACGTTACTTTTTCTAGGAGTCCACCTGGGGGCACCCAACAGCAACAGGCTACTGTACACCAGGTTCCATCGTAGGTATTGTTGGTACAGCAATGAACCAGGTAGAGGAGACAGACACCAATGCTCCCTGGCCTGGGACAGGTCTGGGGCAGGTGTGTTCTGAGCACCTGGGGGAGAGAAAGAGCTGGAACGTTCCACGGGCTGACCAGAGCTGACAGGGGCGGGGCAGGGGGCTAGCGGTCATCCTGGTGAGACCCGCCAGTGACTTGGGCCAAAAGGGGAGGGCTAGCGGGTTCCCACCGACCCCGTTCTGTTGCCCTCAGATCATGCTGCTGGAGACGGCCAGGCGCTACAACCATGAGACGGAGTGCATCACTTTTCTGAAGGACTTCACCTACAGTAAGGACGACTTCCACCGCGCAGGTAGGCTGGGCGTGGCCATGCAGGTACCTAGAGCTGCTGTAACGTGAAACCACCACCAGGGGGTGATCTTTCAGGAACAGACATTAATGGGCTCAGAGATCCGGAGGCCCTGGTGGCACAAAACTTAAGCATTTGGCTGCAAACCAAAAGGTTGGCAGTTCGAACCCACCCACTGGCTCTGTGGGACAAAAGACCTGGTGCTTTCCTGTCAAGATTAACTCCAAAGCAAATGAAACCCAACCAAACCCACTGCCGGCGAGTCAGTTCCAAGTCACGGCAGCCCTGTGCTTGGTCCTGCTGCCTGGCTCACTCCCCTGTGGCGGCCTCCTCGTAGGGTCACTGCTGAGGTGACACCTTCAGTTCACGTGACACAGAAGACAATGCAGAGCATATCTGTGGTCACAGGGCGTGTTGGTGGGACT